ATCTACCCACTACATGTGGGAAATATCACTATGAAATCCCTTGCTTGAGACAAAGAAGGGGGAGAAAACAGTTTTTGCATATTGAAGTTAAATTTTGCAGATATAATTTATCTAAAATGTCTAAAGAGTTTTAAGCTGTGAACATGTTAGTGGATTGATTCAACAAATGTTTTGTTACTTTTCAACTTTATTAAGGCATAATTAATTCATAATAAATTGCATCCACTTAAAGTATATAGTTTGTTGAGTTCTGACAACAATCAGAACCATAATTAGAACACAGAACATGTTTATCCTCTCCAAAGATTGCTTGTACTCCTTTGTTGTTCCCTTCTATCTTCTGTCCTCTATCCCTCTATATTCTATGCCTCAGCTATATTATGAATATGTCCTCCAAATAATATGTGTTGAAAACTTAATCTCCAATGCAATCGTATTGAGAGGTGGGACCTTTAAGAGGTGATTATTTCATGAAGTCCTTGCTCTAGCGGATGAATTTGTTATCATAAGAGAGGTCTTGTTATAAAAGTGAATTTGGTTTTCTTTCTCTATCACCCATGTGATTTTTTTTTTTTTTTGACAGGCAGAGTGGACAGTGAGAGAGAGAAAGAGACAGAGAGAAAGGTCTTCCTTTTTGCCGTCGGTTCACCCTCCAGTGGCTGCCGCAGCTGGTGCGCTGCGGCTGGCGCACCGCGCTGCTCCGATTGCAGGAGCCAGGTTCTTCTCCTGGTCTCCCATGGGGTGCAGGGCCCAAGCACTTGGGCCATCCTCCGCTGCACTCCCGGGCCACAGCAGAGAGCTGGCCTGGAAGAGGGGCAACTGGGACAGAATCTGGCGCCCCGACCAGGACTAGAACCTGGTGTGCCGGCGCCGCTAGGCGGAGGATTAGCCTGTTGAGCCGCGGCGCAGGCTACCCATGTGATGTTATACACCGTGTTATGATGTACCAAAAATGTCCTCACCAGATGAAGCCCTTCAGTCTTGAACTTCCCAGCCTCCAGAATTATGAGCCAATGACATTTCTGTTCATTATGAATTACCCAGTCTGGGTATTCTGTTATAGCAGCACAAAATGGACTAAGAAACCCTTTCTCCTCTATCCCTTTAACCTTAACTTCTACAGAACTACCTTTTATTTGTATTTTATACAGATGAAATCATATAATATTTATTATTTTGCATTTGGCTTCTTTATTCCATATAACGATTTTAAGACTCATCTATCTATCTATCTATCTATATATATATATATTTTTTTTTTGACAGGCAGAGTGAACAGTGAGAGAGAGAGACAGAGAGAAAGGTCTTCCTTTGCCGTTGGTTCACCCTCCAATGGCCGCCGCGGCCGGCGCACCGCGCTGATCCGATGGCAGGAGCCAGGAGCCAGGTGCTTTTCCTGGTCTCCCATGGGGTGCAGGGCCCAAGCACCTGGGCCATCCTCCACTGCACTCCCTGGCCACAGCAGAGGGCTGGCCTGGAAGAGGGGCAACTGGGACAGAATCCGGCGCCCCGACCGGGACTAGAACCCGGTGTGCCGGCGCTGCTAGGCGGAGGATTAGCCTAGTGAGCCGCGGCGCCGGCTACTCATCTATATATTTTTATATATATTATAGCTCCTCCATTTATATTGCTGAGTATTCCATTATGTAGATATACCACATTTTGTTATCCATTTACCTCTTACTGGACATTAGAGTCATTTCCAGTTGGGGGTTCACTCAACACATACTTATTGTGCACACATTGCTGTCCAACTAAATGTTTTTTTTAACAATAAAGGGAGATCATGATGAATGAAACAGAATCGAGGCCCAAATGAAGCTTTTTGGGGGGAGACTGAGAATATTATATAAATATGCAAGTAAAAAATAAACTAGGATAAGTGAGAAAGGAAGTCCTGCCTTGGTGGCAGATTCCCTTTTATAGAGGATGGCCAAGAAAGGCCTCACTGATGAGGTGACCTTTGTACAAGTCCTCAAGGAAGGAAGTGCATAGTCTATGCAGACATCTGGGTAAAGAGTACTGAGATATTTTTTCTCTATTCACAAAGAAAAAGCTCCAGTCCATCTTTTAAATTTTTTGAAAAATTCCTGACATTACAGAACTAAACTGAAATGTATTAATATTCCACTCTTACATTTCCGTGACAAACAGAAAAACTGGTGAGCCAAAAAAAAAAAAAAAAAAAAACCCAAAAGGAAAAAAAAATAGGGAGAAGCTTATAAAACCAAATATGAATCTCAGTATTAACAGCTGAACAGAGAGAAGAATTAAAATGCTTTTAATTTAAAAATCACGAATAGATGATAAAAATGTGTAGAAATTGAAAATTTACAAATTATTTAAAACCTGGAATTTCTGACTGTTCAGCAACTACACAGATGGATCATGGGTGGTGATGAACAGCAGAAAGGGATTATGGATGAATCTGCATTGTCCTCCCCCCCAAAAGAAACCTTTTATTTAAGGAATACAAACTTCATGCATTTCATAAGTACAACTTTAGGAATATAGTGATTCTTTATCTGCTCCCCATGACATTGATTAGCTATTGAACCAAGCTAATGCTGGCAGCAGATCCGGTGACGATAATCTTACTGGGTTCACAATTTTGACCTGCACCCCAGACATCTGACGGATCTCATTGATTTTGGCACCTCAATGCCCGATTATGCAGCCGATCAAATCATTTGGAATGGTGAGTTCATGAGAAGTAGTCTGGGCAGATGCATCTGGACCTGTCCAATAGCCTTTCACCTCTGGGAGCTGGAGTCAGTGCCACTGAATCCAGTATTGCCATGTGTCTTGGGAAAATGAGACTGGTGCATTGCCAGCTGGTACAGATTGGTCAAATCTGGCTGTTGAATGGCATACTGTCCTTGAATGGTATAGACCTCTAGAGATGGGCCCTCCAGGTCAGGGTTGAGACACATGGACTGGGTGATGTGGGGAAAGTTTGCACTGTCGCTGCCTGTGTTGTACCTGTCTTGACCACTTGCAGAGATGACTGAAGAACTGGACAGCTTGTGCAGGTACAGGATGGCCACACCCTTCCGAGGGACTCCAACATGACCATGCAGAGATGTTTGTCACACTCAGTGATGGATTGTGGGATGCCAGCAATAGTGATGGCCTGCTCAGTTGAGTTGGGGAGCATATCCTTTGCCGCCTGAACCTGAGCCCCTGTGCTCTCTTGTATTTTCTTGATCTTGCAACCACCTTTACCAATGAGCCACAGTGACTAGCAGGAACCACAGCCTCAGGGTAACTAGAGTTCTACTGGCAGCTGTGCTATTGGTCATAGAGCTGCTGATGTCCTTTTCTAGTTTGTCAATGATCATAGCAAATGCTTTGAAGATGGCATTAGTGGGTCCAGCCAAAGTGGTAATTTTCAGGACAAGCCCCTTCTGAGATGCTGATACGTGCACCATTCTCCCTGTGCTTCTTAAGCTTCTTAACAGATTTTCCTTTCTTTGCAATGATACTGTCAACTTCCTGACCATGCAGAAGTAGCAGGATGGTGAGGTGACGTTTAATCCACCTTCAGTCATATCCCATACTGGAGTACCTGGGTTTGTATTTTGGCTCCCAGCTGATTCCAGCTCTCTGCTAATATGCACCCTGGGAAGCAGTCGGTGATAGCCCAAGTGCTTGGGTCTCTGCCTCCCACATGGAAGACCTGAATTGAGTTCCTTCTCTTGGCTTTGGACTGGCCTAACCCCTAGCTATAGTGGGCATTTTGGGAGTGAACAGCAAATAAAAGATCTCTCTGTCTCTATGCCTTTCAAATAAAGTTAAATTAAATTTAAAAAATTTTAAAAGGCAATTGATAGAGAAAATCTCAGTGTAGAGTCATCTACTACAACATTCACAAAAGGGGGCTCTTCACATTCCCTTGCTACAAGAGGTAATCTGGGTAATCCAGCACACCATCTGCTAGAGTATTTGCAAGTGTATTTTTGAAATGAATTCCTACAAGTGGTACTGCTGGATTAATAGGAAAATATATGTGTATGTAATTTTACTAGATATTACTATTTTCTTTTCTGAAGGAATATTATCTTTCATTTTTGCCAGCAATGTACAAGGCCTGTTTCTCCACTGTCTTGCTAATAGAGTATACTTTTTTTTTTGACAGGCAGAGTTAGACGGTGAGAGAGAAAGAGAGACAGAAAGAAAGTTCTTCCTTTTTCCGTTGGTTCACCCCCCAAGTGGCTGCTACGGCCGGTGCGTTGCGGCCGGCACGCTGCGCCAATCCGAAGCCAGGAGCCAGGTGCTTCCTCCTGGTCTTCCATGCGGGTACAGGGCCCAAGGACATGGCCATCCTCTATAGCACTCCCTGGCCACAGCAGAGAGCTGGACTAGAAGAGGAGCAACCGGGACTAGAACCCGGCGCCCCAACTGGACTAGAACCCGGGATGCTGGCGCCATAGGCGGAGGATTAGCCTAGTGAGCTGTGGCACTGGCCAGAGTATACTTTTAAACTTTTTGATTGCTGAAGCCAGCATTGTGGTGTGTGGGTTCAGCCATTGCCTGCAACACCAGTATTCCGTACGAGTGCTGGTTCATGTCCCAGCTGCTACACTTCTGATCTAGCTCTCTGCTAATCTAGCAGTGGAAGATGGCCCAATGGAAGACCTCTCTGTCTGTCTCTCCCTTTCTCTATAACACTGTCCTTCAAATAAATAAATAAATCCTTAAAAAAGAAAGATATCTTTTTGATTGCTAATGCAAACGCTGAGAAATGGTATTTCAGTGTTGTTTTAATTGAAAATTGCCTTTAATATTAGGAAAAACTTAGAAGCAGCCTGTCAATCAAGAAGGGATGAATTTAATTATGGTGACTATAATCTGTGTTAATACATTCTGTGGAGTAGATCTATATGTACCATAATGATCTGTGAGATATGTTAAATGAAATAAAAAATAGTAGATCACTATAAAGTATGATCTCATTGTATATAAGCAAAGACTATTCATGTGTCTTTGAATTTGCACAGAAAATGTCTGGAAGATTACAAAAGAAAAACATATAAAACTGTACTGGGAAATGTGATTACAAGCTGAAGAGAGAGGTAAAGTTTCTTTACTTCTCATTTTATGTCCTTTTCAAACTGTTTGACAATTTTATGACAAATAGTATTGAATTAATTTGACTTATTTATTTGTTTATTTAAGTCAGCATTACAGGGATGGAGGGAGAGAGAGAGACAGAGACAGAGAGAGAAATCTTCCATACTGGTTCACTCCCCTTTGGCCACAATGGTCAGGGTGGGCCAGGCGAAGCCAAAAGCCAGGAGTTTCATCCAGGTCTCTCCACATGGGTGACAGGGGCCCAAGCACTTGAGCCACCCTCTGCTGCTTTTACCAGGCTGTTAGCAGGGAGGTATTCCGGAAGTGGAGTAGCTGGGACACGAACCTGTGCCCACAGGGGATTCCAGCATTGCAAGTGGCAGCTTTATCCACTATACCACAACACTGGCCCAATTTGATTTTTTTAAGATGGTGTTGTTATCTATCTAACAGTGATCATTTCTCACTAGAGGTTTTTCTCTCATTGCATGCCTCATTCACTTGCTGAACCTCTTGGGGAAAAAATAATAGCTTAGAAGTGGCCCCCATATCTCAGGTACTGTAATGTACACTGATTCACAGTCTCACAGCTTCCCTTTAGCCTCAGTTCCTTCTGGCCTTACGTTCCACTGTGGAGACTCCAATATACCTAAGGCTCATGGTTACCCAAATGATGGCTAGGGCCTTATTGTTTCTGTGCAGTTACAGAAAAGCCTCTGGTCTAGGAGGAACTGGCAAATGAAATTGTGCATCTTTGGACTGACTTAATTTCTTCTATTTGACCAAATAATCTGGTACATTCATTGTTTTTCCATTTTATACAACACTGTTATGATCATAATCCAACTTTTGAAGAACAGTGTTGAAACCAATTTCACAGTTGAACATATGAATGCTAAAAGAATTAATAGAACTTATTGGATGGTCTCAGTGAAATAATTCTTTGGTTTGAGTATTAAATTTTCCTATAATAAATAAATACAAAAAGAAATACATGAATAACTGGAGAATATGCAGGTTCAGGTCTGCCACCTTCTTTCCCCCAGTAATATAGCAAATAGAATTCTAATAATGGATTTAAACCTCATCTTTTTCTTCGAATGGCAGTCAGAGAGAGTGAGAAAGAAAGAGAGAGAGAGAGAGGTCTCCTATCTGTTGGTTCACTCCCCAAATACAGTCAGGCTGGACCAGGCTGAAGCTGGGAGTTAGGAGCTCACGCTGGGTTTTCCATATGGTTAGCAGGGACCTAAGTACTTGAGCCATCACCTGTTTCCTCTTAGACTGTGCAACAGCAGGAAGCTAAAATCAGGAGTGGAACCAGATCTCAAACCCGAACACTCCAGTGTGAGATCTGGGTGGCCCAAGCAGTGTCTTAAGTGCTATACCAAATCCCAGCCTCTAAGCTTAATCTATTTCTATCTCATCAGCTTTTTTCCCAGATAAAGCAGAAAAAATATGCATACTCCTCAAAATTTTAATTAACAGAATCTCACAAGACAAATACAAAAATACTGTGTACTCATCTACTGAGTAAATAATTTAAAGTGAATGTGAAGCACCTGGTGGAATAAATAAGATAATTATGAATTGGTGTGTTTCTTGAGAATTTTTGTTTTGTTTTGTTTTGTTTGGAAGACAGAGAGATAGAGACAGAGACAGACAGAGATCTTCCATCTGCTTGTTCACTTCCCAAATGTCTACAAACAACAGCCAGAGCTAGGCTAGGCCAAAGCCAGCTTCTTGGAACTCAATCGAGGTCTGCTGTGTGGGTAATGGGGGCCCAAATATCTGAGCCATCATCTGCTGCCTCCCAAGGTTAATATTAGTAGGAAGCTGGAATCTGAAGCAGAGCCAGAGCTCAAACCTAGGCTCTACAGTATGAGATGCCAGTGTACTAAGTGGTATCTTAACCACGGCGCCAAATGTCTGCTCTAATACCTTTTTGTTTCTCATAGAAGTTAGGTGTTCTGAAATCTCTGCCAGGAAATGGACATAACCTTTTCACTTTCAAATGCAGATTAACACTTGTCTACAAATTTTCCTAAATAGGTCATTCATTAATCTGACACTCTGTTTTATTTACACAGAGCAGGGTAAAATTTTAGCTTTTAGTTTTACATTCTACTTCGGCTCTGCTAGGAAGTATTCCATAGTCTTTAGCATAATCTTATTGTTGGTCTTTAATGAAAACACAATATGGACCAGTAATAGCGAACTCTGTATTATGATTGAGAAATCATTCAGTTCAGCTTCCTATTTTAGCTACTGCCAAGTCTTGATTGATGAGCCCACTCACCAAAAAGTTAATAATGTTTTCTTATAGTCAGAACATTCATATGCATCTATCGTAGATTTAGCATTGAAACTCAATTTTCTAGATTTTCCTTTACAAATAGTACCTTAGGCTCTTGAACACAGTGGCATAAGGAAAATGCAGGGCTCTTTCCTGCCACATCTGTCACCACCCTCCTTACAGGCACCATCCTGGTTGGTGAGAGCCGTCTAGACCAGATATTGTCTGAAATTTGGGGCTTTTAAAAAAAGGGGCTATTTAGAAGGTATGTTGAAAATACTTTAAGCTTTTCTCTGCACCAAGACAACAAAGTAAACCTTTTGACAATCATAGAGAGTGAAGCACAACAAAACAAAACAACAAGACAGCCATTAGAGGCAGCTATTTGGGGATAAATAAGTCCCTTGTCCTCACACCAGCTTCTGTTGTTCCTGTGCTGGATGACTTCCAATTGTACACTGTACCCTTCTCTACCCAGTTTTCTGCCCAAGAGGACGACCTGTTTAGATTAAATCTGGTTTTCCAAGTGTGACCCCTGGACAAGCATCATCATCCTCACCTAGAACTTATTGAAAATGAAGATTTTTCAGACCTACTGAATAAAAAACTCTGGAAGTGGGCCTGCAAATCAGTGTTTTAACACACTATCCAAGTGATTCTGCTAGATGCTTCACCTTTGAGAATCTTTTACTGCATGGTTAAGCTCTCTTGCATCCTCTGGTTGGATTTTGTCAGTGGGGAGCACCAATAGGAAATCTGCAGGAAGGAGGAATGTGCTGTTGGGCATTTATTTTTCCAGCTCTTTCCCTGTAAGGCCACCACTGATTGCTTGTATTCCTCTAAGAGGGCTACTTCTCCTGTCAGGAAGCCCTCTGATACATTATTTTCTGCAGGTAGTAGTAACCATTCTTCCTTTCAAGGCTCTTATGGTTGCTGGGCTCAAGAGATTCTACATTAGCTCTTACTAGCTTCTCTAAAATCTGCTCACATTTTTGTAAACAGTCCTTTTAATGTACTTTTCTCAATTGTTCAGTTTGACTATGACTGGACCATGACTGATCCATTTCCCAATGGCAATTGTTTGTACATCCATTTAAGTGACTCACTTTACTTCCAAGAATACCTTCCTTTTCATCATAGTGTTGTTGTGAGGGCTAAGCAAGTTAGTATGCTTATCACAGTGCATGGCTCATAGATGTTCGATATGCAGTAATTATTTGTAAAAGTATTACAGAGCCCTCACTGTGTGTCTCATGAATTAACAATATGTAAATGTCCTCAACTCCACTGCTTTCTCTCAACTGTTCACCTCTGCCTCTTGATCTCCCACTATTAAAGTTGATTTCCTTATTGATTAACTAATTTTAGGTAGAGGAATTATCAGCACTTCAAAAGAGGTCAGCAGTTTGGGGATCACTGATGAGTTAAACATTAAATCTTTTTTAAAAAGTACCATTAAGCTCAGTGATTAAATGTTGATTATTTTTTAGATGATGAAACATGTAGAAAGGTTTTCATTTCCTTGTGAACAGGTGTTGTTCGTTTTCATGGACTCAGAGTATGCTGGCACTACGGTGAATTTCTCCTCATAGGAAGTAACACAAGATGATACATATGGTCATCCAAACAGGCAAGAAGTTAGAAGAAAATGGGTGAGTCTTAACAGTGACTTTTATCTCAATATGTCTGTTCTACCCAGGCCTAGCTTCACTGGTGTGTGACCTGTGCTCAGAAAGGTTCAGGACTAATGTAATGATCTGTTTTAGAATTTTTAACTATTTTTTGATAATGGGCACCACATTTTCATTTTGCACAGTATTCTAAATTATGTGTTTGGCTGTTGCCCTGCCATATTTACACTTGTTTGCAGTGACCTAATAAATATGGTCACCATCAAAAGTAAGGTCTAGGGGCCGGCATTGTGGTGCATAGCAGGTAAGCTGTCTGTTCCACCTGTGATCCAACACCGTGCTATTGGCCTGAGTAAAGCAGCAGAAGATGGCCCGAGTGTTTAGGCCCCCATTTCCCACATGAGACACCTTGATGAAACTCCTAGCTCCTGGCTTTGGCCTGGCCCAGCCCTGACCGTTATAGCCATCTAGGGAGTGAACCAGCAGATGGAAGATCTCTCTATGTATCTTTCTGTCTTTTTCTCTATATATCTCTGATTTTTAAATAAATGAATAAGTCTTAAAAAGTAAGGGTTACTACTATTATTATAGTTATTAATAAGTGCTTTGTTGATATGGATCTCTGGATGAAAGGTTTTGAACTCTCTCATCATATTAAGCAAATATATTTCTCTCAAATACAGAAAAATAGCATCATCTATATTATTATTTCTAATAAAATATAACAGGTAAGGAAAGAAATAAGACCTAAGATATACGGTCTTCAGGGTTATGTTGGAAACACTGAGGCTAACTTTTGGCTCTAAGAGGAATTGCTCTTCTATTGTTCCAGGAAATGAAGCCTTTAAGACCTTGACTCAAAGCTACAGACACAAAGAAAAAATTTCTTTCTGTGGAAAGTTTTTCTTTGAGAATAAAATAAGAAATCGTATGTATCTATTATGGCTTGGCAACAGGTATATATATTACCTAAACAATAATAAAAAGAGACTATTTTCCCTGAAGAATCTAAAATCATTGAGGGGAATTGAATCTCTTTGGTTTGAAGAGAAACTTTCCCTACAGGCTGATACTTGTCTTTAGAAATGGAAGTAATTTCTGGTTAAAAATTATTTCCTGAAGGAATAAATATCTAATACCTGACATAAGGGTGCCTCAGAATGTCATTATTTCCATTTTTGACATCCAATGTACAAATCATGTGCCAATTGGGAGCCTTTCCCCAACATAGTGAAGAAACAGTCTCTTCAATTATGGTTTGCAGGTTAGGCTAACCAGTCCTTGTGGGACATAACACATGATATAATAATATAAATAATATACAGTTGGGTCCTTTCAAATAACTTACCCAATTGTATGTTCACAATACACAGAACCTTGCCATGGCAAGTCAAGAAATCTTACTACCCAAAGCAGCTGTGGGCTAAAAGAATGCCAGGGCTTGCAGAGACAGATATATTGGAGGCTTATAATGTGTGGGTAGAACTGCAAGACCTCATGCTGATGCACAGATATCACATCTAGAATTAAATGCAGAGGGCCTTTCAGTACCTTCTTAGCACCTAGAAGGTTACCCTGTACTCCTTTTTTTAGAGCAAATATTTCATAAAGCTATTCTCTCTTTTTTAAAATATTCATTTATTTATTTGAAAGAATTACAGAAAGAGAGAGAGAGATTGATTATCTTCCATCCACTGGTTCATTCCCTAGATGACTGCAATGGCCAGGGTTGGGTCAGGCTGAAGCCAGGAGCCAAAAGCTTTTTCCAGGTCTCCCACATGGATGCAGAGGCCGAAATACTTGAACTTCTACTCTACTTTCCCAGGACTTAAACCAGTGCTCAAATGGGATGCCAGAATTGCAAGCAATGGCTTAACCAGCTATGCCACAATGCTGGCTCCAAGCATGAAAGTCTTATAATTCGGGGTGGTGTTGTGGCATAATGAGTTAAGTCCTGGTTGCTCCTCTTCAGATGCAACTCCCTGCTGATGGCCCTGGGATGGCTCCTGGCTTCGGCCTGGCCCAGCCCCAGCCGTTGCAACCATTTGAGGAGTGAACCAGTGGGTGAAATCTCTCTCTCTCAGCCTTTCAAATAAATAAATATTAAAAAAAGAAAGTCTTGTAATTCACTGGGCATCAGATGGAATACTCAGAAAAGATGCTGTCTCAATGATGTGGCAATTTAACCTAGACTAACATCTATTCTGATCCAACCTAACAAAGCTTAAATGTGGGGTTGAAAGGATCAAATCATTTTCAAGTAAGTTAATTGGATCTCAGAACAGAGTTCAGAATTAAATTATGAATACAAACATATCCAGTATTCAACAAAATAAAATCACAAAGTATGGCATTAGCATTGGACAGTAAAGATCACCAAGCATGCAAAGAATCAGACAAATATGACCCATAATAAGAAAAGGCAGTTTTAGGAACAGGTATATCACACAGCAGATTAAGCAGCTCATACCAAAGTGCTTGAGGTAGAGTCCCGCCTCCACTTTCAAATCCAGCATCCTTCTAATGATCCTGGGAGGCAGCAGATGACAGCCCAAGTACTTGGGTGACTGTGATTCTGGTGGGAGTCCTTTATACAGGTCCTGGTATGGCCAGCAAGTAGAGGATCTCTCTTCCTCCGTTTCTCCCTCTGTGTCACTCTGCTTTTCAAATAAATAAGTAAATAAATCTTTTTTTAAAGACAGTTATTAGGAACAGACTTAGAAATTACAAAAGTTAGAATTAGGTAGAGACATTGAAATAGTTATAACTATATATGTTTAAAAAGGTACTGAAAATAGTGGCCATGTCAAGTGGAGACAATACTAAAAAGACCCAAATTTGACTGTTATAACAAAAGAATGAATATCTCTGAGCTGAAACATGCATTGGATGAGAATAAGGACAGAATAGGCTCTGTGGTAGAAAATGTGGGCAATACTCATGAGAAAAACAATGCAGAGTGAAAAACAACACCGGACAGAACAGTATCCCACCAAATTCACGGCCACTTGGAACCTCAAAATGTGACTTTATTTGGAAAAAGAGTGTTTGCATAAATAATTAGTTAAGATGAAATCACACTGAATTAAGGTGGACTCTACCTCAGTGATTGGTGTCATTATGAAAAGGCCACGTACAGACATAAGGATGTGTAGACATAGAGGCAGAGGTTGGAGTGATGCATCTAAGCCATGGAATGCCAAGAATTGCTGACAATGACCAGAAACTGGAGAGAGGCATGGGACAATTTTTTCTCACAATGTCCAGAGGAAACCCCCCTGTTGATAGCTTGATTTGAGTCCTCATGACTTAAACCTAAACCTTAAAATTTCCACTCTTCATACCATTGCATTGAAGATTATGTTTCCAACTCATGAAGTTTGGGTGACACATTCAAACCAAAGTTTATACACAGAATCTTGGCAAAGAGTTGCAACTAATATAACAGCCAGGAGATAAAATGGAATTGTAAAAGACAATCCCCCCAAAATTTTAAGACAGGAAAAGAGGAAAATACGTACATAGAATAGGTGGGCCAGAGGCTGGAGCTGTGGCGTAGCCAATAAAGCCTCCACCTAGCAGTTGCGGCATTTCATATGGGTGCCGGTTCGAGTCCTGGCTGCTCCACTTCTGATTGAGCTCTCTGCTATGGTCTGGGAAATCAGTAGAAGATGGCCCAAGTCCTTGGGCCCTTGCACCCACGTGGGAGACCCAGAAGAAGCTCCTGGCTCCTGGCTTTGGATTGGTGCAGCTCTGGCCATTGCAGTCAACTGGGGACTGAACCAGCGGATGGAAGACCTCTCTCTCTGTCTGCCTCTCCTTCTCTCTCTGTGTAACTCTGATTTTCAAGTAAAATAAATAAATCTTTTAAAAATAATATGAAGATTAATGGAGATATTGACCATTTTTTGTTTAATGCAGATATAGTACATGCCAATTTTTCCATGTTGTACTTCTGGAATTATTGTGTTCTCTCAAAAATCAGACCAACTGAAAAATTGTTCTTCCTAGGTTGGAATAGAAATCCTGTTAAGACATTATGACTTTATTCAGGCAGAGTTTTTTGGCTTTGTTTTTTAAGCAAACAAAGCATAACACAGGATTCAGTTGAACTCTTAGCCTATTTTAAAACTTCTGCTCTATAAGTTTTTTATTGCTTTGTAACAAATAGCTACAAATGTGTTTTCTTAAAATAATATAGTTATTTTCACAGTTTTTTCCCCAAGATATGACCATTTCATTACTATATTCTATATCTGAGAAAACATATGCAATGTGTCTTTTTTATTTTTTATTTTATTTTAATTAATTAATTAATTAATTAATTTTTTTTTGACAGGCAGAGTTAGCCAGTGAGAGAGAGAGACAGAGAGAAAGGTCTTCCTTCTGTTGGTTCACCCCCAAAATGGCTGCTACGGGCTGGAGCTATGCCGATCCAAAGCCAGGAGCTGGGTGCTTCCTCCTGGTTTCCCATGCAAGTGCAAGGATCCAAGCACTTGTGCCATCCTCCACTGCCCTCCCGGGCCACAGCAGAGAGCTGGACTGGAAGAGGACCAACCGAGACAGAATCTGGCACCCCAATCGGGACTAGAACCCAGGGTGCCAGTGCCGCAGGCAGAGGATTAGCCATGTGAGCCGCAGCACCAGCCTGCATGTGTCTTTTTGAGACTGGCTTATTTCACTAAGCATAATGGTTTTCAGATGCATCTATTTTGTTGCAAGAAACACGACTTCATTCTTTTCTATGGCTGAGCAGTATTCCAAAGTGTATATATACACCACTTTTTCTTTATCTAGACATCAGTTGATGGACATCTGGGTTGATTCCATATTTTAGCTATTTTGAATTAAGCTGCAATAATTATAGGGGATACACATTACCCTTTAATATGTTCATTTTATATGGGCAAATTCCCAGGAGTGGGATTATTGGGTTATATGGTAGATCTACTTTCATACCTCTTCCATAATGGTTGTACTACTTTACATTATGACAAACAGTGGGTTAGGGTACCTTTTTCCCCACAGCCTCGTCAGTGTTTATTTTTGATTTATGGATGATAGCCAACCTAAATGAGATGAGGTGACATGTCATTGTGGCTTTTATTTGCATTTTCCTGATGGCTAGTGATCCTGAGCATTTTTTCATATGTCTGTTGGCCATTTGAATGTCATCCCTTAAAAATTGCCTGTTTGTGTCCTTTGCTCATTTCATAACTGGATTGTTTGTTCTGTTGTGGAATTTCTTGAGCTCTTTATAGATCCTGGATATTAATCCCTTACATGTTGCATAGTTTGAAATATTTTCTTCCATTCTATTGGTTGCCTCTTCACCTTGTTGAGTGTTTCCTTTGCAGTGCAGAAGCTTCTTAGCTTGTTGTAATCCCATTTGTCCATCTTTGTCTTTATTGCCTGTGCTTCTGGGGTCTTTTCCAAGAAGTCTTTGCCTATGCCAATGTCTTAAATATTTTCCCTGAAGTTTTAAGCTAATAGCTTGATGTTATCATGACTTGATAACATCTACAAACAGGAATAATTTCATTTCCTATTTTTCCATTTGTATCCCTTTGATTTCTTTTTCTAGTCTAATGTCTCTGGCTAAAATGTTGAGAACTAATTGAATAGAAATGGTGAAAGTAGGTGTCCTTTTCTGCTTCTGGATCTTAGTGGACATGCTTTCTTTTTTTTAAAGATGTATTTATTTATTTGAAAATCAGAGTTACAGAGAGAAGGAGAAGCAGAAAGAGAGAGGTCTTCCTTCCACTGGTTCACTCCCCAACTGGCCACAATGGCTGGAGCTGCATCCATCTGAAGCCAGAAGCCAGGAGCTTCTTCCAGGTCTCCCACGCTGGCACAGAGTCCAAGGATTTGGGCCATATCCTACTGCTTTCCCAGGCCACAGCAGAGAGCTGGATCAGATATGGAGCAACCAGGACTCAAACCTGTGGGGAGCAACTCGGACTAGACTAAGTTACTGGAATTAAGACTTATTCTATGCATCTGCTCTCCCACAGTATGGCGCTGGGAGAGGAGTAAACAACTTTTACACAGCTGCCTCCAGTTCGACCAATAACCTCCAGGAGCTGATCCTGCTCCTGATTGGAGGAGAGCAGCATGCTCGGCGTGTGGGTAGCAGAGTTGGGATTGGTGGAAGAGGACTATAAAGGAGGAGAGAGACAACATGCACCAGGAACATCTAAGGGGAACATCCGGATAACATCTGAGCAGCCCCCGAGAGAGCCGGCCGGCGGTGTGCCGCTCCCCCGCGGAAGTGGGGAAAGTGGCAGGGGGAGCCGCCCTTCCACGGAGGTGGAAGGATCGGCAGCCAACCCGGGAAGAACCAGCAGCAAACCCGGGAAGGGCCGAGCAGACAAAAGAACAGCGCAGGGTCCTGTGTCATTCCTCCACAAATGGGGGAGCGACAAAACCAGTGCCCATATGGGATGCCAGCACTGCAGGTGGTGGCTTTACCAACTACACCACAGCGCCAGCCCCAGGAAATGCTTTAAATTTTTCCTCATTCAATATGATACTAGCAGTGGATTTATCATATATTGCCTTGATTATGTTGAGGAGTGTTTATTCTATTCCCAAATGCTTAAGGTTTTTATCATTAGAGGATGTTGTGTTTTAGTAAATGCATTCTCTAAATCTACTGAGATAATCATAAGGTTTTTATTCATTACTTTATTAATGTGATGCACTACATTTATTGATTTGCATATGTTGAATCATCACGCATACCAGGGATAAATCCTAATTGGTCTGGGTGAATGATCTTTCTGATATGTTGTTGGATTCCATTAGCTAGTATTTTGTTCAGAATTTTGAGTCTGTTCATCAAGGATATTGGTCTATAATCCTCTTTCTTTGTTTTATCTTTTTCTGGTTTTGGATTTTTTTTAAAAGATTTATTTATTTATTTAAAAGTCAGAGTTACACAGAAAGAGAAGGAGAGGAAGAGGCACAGAGTGAGTTCTTCCATCTGCTAGTTTACTCCCCAGTCGGTTGCAATGACTGGAGCTGTGCCAATCGGAAGCCAGGAGCCAGGAGCTTCTTCTGGTCTCACACATGGGTGCAGGGACCTAAGGACTTGGGCCATCTTCTACTGATTTCCCAGGCCACAGCACAGAGCTGGATTGGATGTGGAGCTGCTGGGACTTTAACTGTTGCTCATATGGGATATTGGCATTGCAGGTGGTAGCTCTGCTCACTACACCACAGTGTTGGCCCTTGGTTTTGGTATTAAGGTGGTTCTGGCCTTATAGGAGGAGTTTGGGAGGATTCCCTCTGTTTCAATTGTTTTGAATAATTGGAGAAGAATTGCAATTGATTATTTTTTAAAATTTTGTTAAAATTAATTACTAAAGCCATCCAGTCCTAGGCTTTTCTTTGTTGGGAGTGTGTTTATTACTGATTCAGTCTATCTTGGTTATTGCTCTGTTTAGTTTTTTAGATCTTCATGACTCAATTTTGGTAGGTTGTGTTTGTCCAGGAATCTATCCATTTCTTCTAGATTTTCCAATTTTTTGGTATTTAGCTGTTTGTAGTAATTCCTGGTGATTCTTTTTATTTCTGTTGTTACATTTCCTTTTTCAACTCTGATTTTATTTATTTGGGTCTTTCCCCCTTTTTTGGTTAGCTGGGCTAGTGGTATATCAATTTTGTTTATTTTTTCAAAAAACAAGCTCTTAATTTCATTGATTATTTTTGTATTTTTTGGTTTAAATTTTGTTTATTTCTTCTCTAACTTTAATTATTTTTTCTACTACTAATTTTGGGTTTGGTTTGTTGTTTTTCTAGGGCCTAGGATGCATTGGTAGATACTTTGTGTGATGCCTTTCCAATTTCTTGATGTAGGAAAATAATTGCTATAAACTTCTCTCTTAACACTGCTTTTGCTGTACATAGGGGTTGTTTTAGATTTATTTTATTTATTTGAAATAGTTAAAGAGAGAGAGGTGGAGAGAGAGAGAGAGAGAGAAAAGAGAGAGAGAGAGAGGTCTTCCATCCACTGGTTCACTCCCCAAATGGCCACAATGGCCAGAGCTGAGCTGATCCAAAGTCAGGAGCCAGGAGCTTCTTCAGGGTCTCCCATATAGGTGCAGGGGCCCAAGGACTTGGCCATCCACTGCTGCTTTTCCAGGCACATTTGCAGGGAGCTGGATCCAAAGTGGAGTAGCTGGGACATGAACTGGTGCCCATATGGGATGCCAACACTGCAGGCCGGGGCTTTAAGCTGCTGTGCCACAGTGCCGACCCCTCCCATAAGTTTTGATATGTTGTGTTGTCATCTTCATTCATTTCCAGGAATTTTTTGAGTTCCCTTTTGATTTCTTCTATGACCCACTGTTGATTCAGCAGTATGATGTCAGTCTTCATGTGACTGCATATTTTCTAGAGTTTCATAAATTATTAATTTCCAACTTCATTCCATGGTGGTCAGAAAAGGTACAAGGTATAATTTCAATGTTTCTGAATTTGCTAAGACTTGCTTTATGGCTTCTCATATAGACTATCCTAGAGAAAGTTTCAGGCACTGATGAGGAGAATGTATATTCCACAACTGTGGGATGAAATGTTTTGTAGATATCAATTATATCCATTTGGTCCATAAGGTAGACTAACTCTGTTTTTTGTTTGTTTGTTTGTTTTTTGCTTCTTTTTTTTTTTTAACTTTTATTTAATGAATATAAATTTCCAAAGTACAGCTTATGGATTACAATGGCTTCCCCCCCCATAACTTCCCTCCCACCTGCAACCCTCCCCTTTCTTGCTCCCTCTCCCCTTCCATTCACATCAAGATTCATTTTCAATTCTCTTTATATGCAGAAGATCAGTTTAGTATATATTAAGTAAGGATTTCAATAGTTTGCACCCACATAGAAACACAAAGTAAAAAATACTGTTTGAGTACTAGTTATAGCACTAAATCACAATGTACAGCACATTAAGGACAGAGATCCCTCATGAGGAGTAAGTGCACAGTGACTCCTGTTGTTGACTTAACAATTGACACTCTTGTTTATGGCATCAGTAATCACCTTAGGCTCTTGTCATGAGTTGCCAAGGCTATGGAAGCCTTTTGAGTTTGCTGACTCTGATCATATTTAGACAAGGTCATAGTCAAAGTGGAAGTTCTCTCCTCCCTTCAGAGAAAGGTACCTCCTTCTTTGATGACCTGTTCTTTCCACTGGGATCTCACTCACAGAGATCTTTCATTTAGGTCATTTTTTTTTTTGCCAGAGTGTCTTGGCTTTCCATGCCTGAAATACTCTCATGGGCTTTTCAGCCGGATCCGCATGCATTAAGGGCTGATTCTGAGGCCAGAGTGCTGTTTAGGACATCCGCCATTCTATGTAACTCTGTTTTTTTTTTGTTGTTGTTGTTGATTTTCTGTTTAATTGATCTGTCCCTTGATGAAAGTGGGGTTTGAAGTCCCTCATTATTGCATTGGAGTCAGCATCTCCCTGTAGATCCATTAGCATTTGTTTTAAACAGCCAGGTGACCTGGCATTTGGTGATATACATTTATTATAGTCACAGCTACCTGTTGACTAACTTCTTTGTTTGTCTCTTTTAGTAGTTTTTCTGTTAAAGTCTATTTTGTCTGATATAAGGATGAGTAATCCTGCTCTTTTTTGCTTTCCATTAGCATGGAATTTCTTTTCCATTCTTTCATTTTCAGTCTGTGTGTATCTTTGTTGGTGAGATATGTTTCATATAGGCAGTAAATGGGTTTTGTTTTTAATCCATTCAGCAAGTCTATATTTTTTAATTGGAGAATTTAGGCCACTTACATTCAAGGTTATAGTTGATAAGTAATGACTTGGTCCTATTGTCGCTCCCCCATTCGCAGAGGAACGACACAGGACCCTGCGCTGTTCTTTTGTCTGCTTGGCCCTTCCCGGGTTTGCTGCTGGTCCTTCCCGGGTTGGCTGCCGACCCCACCACCTCTGTGGAGGGGTGGTACCCCCTGCCACTCTCCCCACTTCCGCGGAGGAGCGGCACACCGCCGGCCGGCTCTCTCGGGGGCTGCTCAGGTGTTCCTTCAGATGTTCCCGGTGCATGTTGTCTCTCTCCTCCTTTATAGTCCTCTTCCACCAATCCCAACTCTGCTACCCACACGCCGAGCATGCTGCTCTCCTCCAATCAGGAGCAGGATCAGCTCCTGCAGTTTATCAGTCAAGTTGGTGAGAGGCAGCTGCGTAGAAGTTTACTCCTCTCCCAGCGCCATATTGTGGGAGAGCAGATGCATAGAATAAGTCTTAATTCCAGTAACTTAGTCTAGTCTCAGTTGCTCCCCACACCTATGATTTTTCTGTAAGTATTCCTATTGTTTGCTTTGGATTTCCTTTGTACTTTTAATAGGATATTTTCTGCCTTCATATTCTTTCATCATTTTCTGTTTCTGTGTGTAGCACATCCTTAAGAATCATTTGTAAGACTGGACAAAAATTCAATTTATGTTTATTTTGGAATGCCTTTATTTCACCTTAGTTCATAAATGAGAGTTTTGCTTGGTATTGTATTCTTGGTTGATAGTTTATTTTAGGACTTAGACTATGTCTCTCCATTCTCTCCTAGCCTGTAGGGTTTCTAATGAGAAATCGGTTGTTAGTCTAATTGGGGATCCTCTGAAGGTAATCTGGCATTTCTCTCATGCAAATTTTAGGATCTTTTCTTTATGCTTTACAGTTGAAAGTTTGACTATAATGTGTTGTGGTTAAGATCTTTTCTGATAATGTCTATTAGGACTTTTATGTGCTTCCTGTACTTAGATGTTCCTTTCTTTTTTCCGAATTAGGGATGTTTTCTGCTACTGTTTTACTGAATAGGCCTTCTAATTCATTCTCTCTTTCCATGCCTTCAGAAGCTCCTAAGACACGTATGTTTAGTTGTTGGATAGTATCCCATAAATCTTGAACATTTTTTTCAGTTTTCTCTAATTTCCTTCTTTTTTTTTGTCTATTTCTGACGATTTGTTTTCTAGCTCAGATATTCTTTCTTCTGCCTCACCAAGTCTGTTGTTGAGGCTTTTCACTGTATTTTCTATTTGTCATATTGAATTCTTCATTTCTAATATTTAGTTTGATTTCTCTTCAATATCTCTATATCTCAGAAAAATTTTTTCATTCATATCATGTATGGATTTCTTTATCTCATGAATTTGTTTTTCTGAGTGTCTGAGTAATTTCATGATCATTCTTTTGAATTCATTTTCAGGCATTTCATCAATTTCTTTATCTTCATATTCTAACCTTGAAGTGTTGTTGTATTATGTTTGGGAAGTGGTATTTTCTTCCTTGTTTTTGTTTCTTATATTTTGTGGGGAGCAGCCCGGACTGGACTGAGTTACTGGAATTAGGACTTATTCTATGCATCTGCTCTCCCACAATATGGCGCTGGGAGAGAAGTAAACAGCTTCCGCACAGCTGCCTCCAGTTCAACCAATAAACTGTAGGACTTGCTCCTGATTGGAGAGCAGCGTACTCGGCGTGTGGGCAGCCGAGTTGGGATTGGCGGAGGAGGACTATAAAGGAGGAGAGAGACGGCATGCACCAGGAACATCTATGGGGAACATCTAAGGGGAACATCTAGCTGAAGGAACACCCGTGCAGCCCCCGAGAGACCCGGCCGGCGGTGTGCCGCTCCCCTGCGGAAGTGGGGAATGTGGCCAGGGGGAACTGCCCTTCCACGGAGGTGGAAGGGATAGTAGCCAACCCGGGAAGAACCAGCAGCAAACCCGGGGAGGGCCGAGCAGACAAAAGAACAGCGCAGGGTCCTGTGTCGTTCCTCCACGAAGAGGGGGAGCGACATAATGGTGCCGTGACTCGGATAGGAAACCTAGGACGGATAGGAAACTTAGGAGGGAAGAAACGGGAAGAACTGGGAAAATACCGGAGAGAGAGACTAGCAAACAGCCTAGGGAAAAGCCGGACGAAAAAGGGTGCCGGAAGAAGCTATTGAAAGCCTAGGCATAGACTCAGATACGGACTACAGGGGGAAGCTGGGAGAAATCTCTAAGGTCGAAAGCGAAAAGTGAAAGCTAGAACAAACAGGCTCGGACGCGGACTGTGGGGAGAGGCCAGGAGAAATGAGGGAGGAATATCGTTGGAGGAAAGTTTGGGGAAACATACCGGGTAGAGAAAAGTGTTAGGGAAATTGAAGCCGCGGGGGGCAGGCCGAGGCTGAAACGAAAGCCACTTTGGGATTCTCAAGTTAGCCCGGGAATGGGGGGCGAAAAGTTGAAACCAGAAGCTGAAACGTAAGCCAGATTGGGATCCGTCTGATTAGCCCAGGGAGCAAAGGACGGGAAGCCAAATCATGGGGCGGAGACGTATGCTGGGTTGAATTCGCCAGGCTAGCCCGGGGAACTTAGATTGAATGCTAGTGGCGGACACGTAAGCTACGCTGTGTGACTCGCGGAAGCCGCCGCGTGCAGAGAGAGCACGGGGCGTGAATAGATAGGGAACGGGGCTGGCGCGAAGCTGTGGTTCAGACGCGAAAGGGTTAAGTGCGAGACTGCGGAGTGTGCACGCAAAGCGGGCTGAAGCGGCTCAGCCGGAAAGCCGCGGAGAAATAGCCTCGGGGTGGAGCCTGCCGGCAGGGCGAGGTGCCGGGAAGCTGCGGGGATAAGAGAAACAGAAGTTTTAGAAGTAAAGTGAGAGAAATAGGAATGCTGGAAGATAGAAGTAAAATGGGAGAAATAGGAATGCCCGGAGATAGAGAAATAGAGAAATAGAAAGGCCTCCCCTCAACATGGCAATGAGAAAGCTTGGATTCAGTCTGCCTGATTAAGTGAGGCGATGAGCACCTGCGGCGGCTAGCAGCTTATGCGCCGCAGGTCACCGAAGACAGGCACGAATTAACATCAGTAAGGCTTCCCCACAACACAACAATGAGAAGGCTTGGATTCGGTTTGCCTGATAGGGCTTGTAAGCCCCTGCAGGCAGAGCAGAGCATGCGCTGCAGGGCACCGAACACAGGCACGCATCAGCGCCTAAAAACCTCCTCACAACATGGCGAAGAGAGGACCCGGATTCGGTTTGCCTGATTGATAGGACTTGTAAGAGCCTGTGGCAACTCTAGCAAGTAGAGCAGAGTGTGTGCCGCGGGACACCGAAGACAGGTGCGTATCAACGCCAAAAATAAAAAGAAAGGGGGATCTGTGGGGAGCAGCCCAGACTGGACTGAGTTACTGGAATTAGGACTTATTCTATGCATCTGCTCTCCCACAATATGGCGCTGGGAGAGAAGTAAACAGCTTCCGCACAGCTGCCTCCAGTTCAACCAATAAACTGTAGGACTTGCTCCTGATTGGAGAGCAGCGTACTCGGCGTGTGGGCAGCCGAGTTGGGATTGGCGGAGGAGGACTATAAAGGAGGAGAGAGACGGCATGCACCAGGAACATCTATGGGGAACATCTAAGGGGAACATCTAGCTGAAGGAACACCCGTGCAGCCCCCGAGAGACCCGGCCGGCGGTGTGCCGCTCCCCTGCGGAAGTGGGGAATGTGGCCAGGGGGAACTGCCCTTCCACGGAGGTGGAAGGGATAGTAGCCAACCCGGGAAGAACCAGCAGCAAACCCGGGGAGGGCCGAGCAGACAAAAGAACAGCGCAGGGTCCTGTGTCGTTCCTCCACGAAGAGGGGGAGCGACATATTTCTGTATTAATTTCAGGCATTTGTGGAAACACTTGTTGGTTTTCTCCTCTGATGGCTTTTGTCTTTGAATTATGTCTCTGTGGCTTAGTGGAGTGTCTGCTCCTTTGGTGGATATCCAGAGATGTGTGCTGGGTGGGGCCAGGGAGCTCTGATCAATGCTCAAGGGTGGGGTGAAAGTCTAGGGTAACATTCAAGTTGGGTGTGGTAGATCTCCTTTATTGTCAGCAGTAGGAAGGGTATGATCATATCTGTTGGCATAATCATGGCCTCACTTCCTGTCTTCCAAGGTGATTGATCCCTGGGGTTAGCCCACAGTGGCTACAACCACTGCCCATACAGGCACCTGAACCACACAAAGGATCTGTGTGATTCTCATTGTGAGCATGGAACCCTCTGCAATGACCCATCCCAGGCAATCACGGAGCTTTTAGCCTCTGAGGCCAGACACAGTGATTTCCCAGAGACTCACACCCTATTGTACGGTCATAGAATTCCCACAGTCATAGCACGTAAGGATCCCACAATCACAGGGTGCAAAGGATCCACTCTCAACCATGTGGGCCTGCACCGTCCTTGGATAGAGCAGAGGCATTCCTAGAGACAGCTGCCTGTGTTGCTCTGCCTTGGCAGTTTGATCCTTGGAGTCTGTGATAGGGTGGGGGTATGGGAATGCCTCACAGTCCTGTGTGGGTGCCCAACCCCCTGCCAACCCTCCTGGCCAGACTCAAAGTCAGGAGGGAACATGGATTTTTCCCTTTGATAAAATGGCTATTCATACAAAAGAGAGCTGCTGCAGCC